GCTGGCGCCTGAGGTGCCAACAGATCTTAAACTAAATTGATTTTTGTTATTTCTCAGTTCTTCAAAAAGAATAGAAATGCATTGGCTTGTTTTGAAAATCTGTCTATTTCTATCATTATTTGCTACTTTTATTCTAAATTCTTTGTTATTTACGTGTTATTATTAAATTTTATCCCTAAATGAGATAGATCACTTGTAAGGTGACAGTAAATTAAAGAGCACTGGATAGTTCCATTGAGATAAAAGGAATTTCTACAAAAGCTACCTCAATAGACCTCTATAGAGAAAAATTGTGAATTGTCTGGGGGTCAGTTAAGTCATGCGTGAAACGAATACTCACAGAAAGAAGTGATATAAGAGGCGATTTGAATTTGTAGGCTGTTTTTTGGATTCCAACTCATCGGCTAAAAGTAGTGCCAAATGTACTCCTTAGTTTGTTTGTTTTATGTGCTCTGCTGAAGAGTTCCAGATAAGAACGAATCAACTACTGTTTGGTTTTCAATAACTTTCTAGTTGATTTCTGTTTGTGATGAAATTCACCAGCTGAGCTTCTCACAAAAAAAATCCTCATTGTTTTCATTTGGGTATTGAACATTGTATTCACAATCTTATTCAAGTTAGTCATACATTTATTATCTAAACAGAAAGTGACTTCTCCATTTTCTGGAAACAAACAGCTTCTGGTTGATTATTAAATTAATAATGCTTTCCACATAATTGACTAGTTGTTAATCAAGATGAAATCCTGTATGAACTAGATTTTATGCTTACTTAACGTCATGAGAAAAATTTCAATGGTTTGTCGTGTTGACCACTACTTATTTAGGAAGTTGCGTCGGCCAACGCCAGCTCGTTGATTGTTGACGAAATCTCAGCACGAATACAAAAGGCTCGTTTGGCATATGCCAAATTACGCCATCTCTGGCTTATTAGACGGGATATCCGGCTGTTGACGGAAAAATGAGAGTACTTCTCAGCAGTTCACCCCGTCCTGCTTTATGGCTGTGACTGAGATATGGCCACTGAAAGTGGAAGAAATGAAAAGACTGGTTAGCTGTCTTCGGTCGTAGGTGCCTGCATTCTGTCTCCCGTGTGTGTGTTAGGGGCATAATAGGGTGAGCAGTGTTGAGGTTAGGCGTTGAGTGCTAAGTAGGTGGGAGGGGAAGTCAGTAGAGGAGATTGCGAAGTTATGCCGATTGAGATGGTTAGGATATGTGTTACGCCTGCATGTCTAGCCACCACCTTCTTCGACGATGGGAAATGTTAGCTGACTGACATAGAATTGATCAGGTTGGAAATGAGCGTGTGGTGATCAAGCGAAAACATGGCTTCATCAGTCAATGAAATCCACAACAGTTAATTTAATCCACGTAGGAAGGTGTAGACTTCCTGACTGGTTTGGGTTCTCGGGATAGTAAAGTGCAGTGAAGGCTGGAGATAATTGGCTGGAAATCGTAATCAATGGCTGGCGGAGATGCATTCACTCTTTGTGATTTATCATATCCAATAAAACTCTATTGTTCTTCCTTATTACTATTCTTTTTCCCTCACTCACACTTCTGTGTATTATCAGTCTTTTGAACCTCCCTTTACTCTTTTTCCTTGCTTTATGTGGTAAAAGGAGGTAATGTGACAAAGTTCTATGTTGAAAGCAGTCAGTCAGTCAGTTCAGTAACCAATTTGGTTATCTATAACACATACTGTTATCATTTCTAACAACCGAAAATAGAGTATCTCACTAAACAATTATGGATGATATAATGTATAAACTGAAAAATGTATTTATGCATATATTTAATTAAAAGTGTTTTTATATTTGTATCATTAATTAGTATTTACCAGTAACAATAGTAGTGGTAGTACGCAGTAGTAGTATCGTATATGCGAAAAACCCAGAGAATGGAATGGTCTTATAAACTGGTCATAATTCATAAGTGTGAAATTTTTATATGGACATTATTTAAACTAAATTAATTTTAGGGGGTGAGTGTGTATTGTACTACATAGGTGTTAATAAGTGAGTTGTTGTTAGGCTGTGGGGATGAATCGACACACACAAACACATTTAAACAATTTGTTTGATATGCATTATAAACAAAACAGTATTTACTTACAATTCTAAATATAGACTTTGAGTAACGATGATAGTGATAGATACACATTCTACTGTGTAAATGAAATACTCTCGATCCTATCAAAAACCTCGGTCGTTGGCACTTCATGTTAGGTTACTTTTCGCTTTGTCTTTCTTTATGGCTATGCGATATAATATGTGACAACTAAAAGCGAAAGATAAATGAAAGGCTAGTTACAAGATTTCATCATGAGCTGATATCGTTTAGAGAACCGTTGGAAAATCAAGGAGTACTGGACATCTGTTTCGTCCTAGTTTGCGACTCCTCACAGTACGCGCCCACCGCCAGGGTTCAAATTCATGGCCTTCTGGTTACAACACGAGTTGGCTCGTAGACTACTTAGTCACTGGGACCCGATCCAATGGCCAGTCCATGAATTCCAACTTCTGTCAATTCACAAAATAGCGCGACCACTAGCCGATGTCTTCGGTGAGTAGTGTTCAAAGGGGTATAATGTAATGTGAGCAACATTCCGGTTTAGGTGTAAATTATTATAAAGTAAAGAAGGCAAGCCAATCAATTGCTTGACAAAGTTATGAAGAGAAATCATTTGAGATGGCTAGGACTCATATTGGTTACTGTAACGTTGTCGTCACCGACAGCATCGAAGGTTCTCATTATAGAATAGAAAACAATCTTAGTCTTATCTTTTGCACTCGGAGCCCAAGGGATTAATAAGAATAAAAATTCAGTTTATGTTAGAAAACAGGGTTTCTAATATACTTTTGACGCCGTTGACTAACGAGGACCTACTGATACCCAGTATCAGTAACGCAAATCCAGAATATGTTAAAAGAGTTGACTATTTTATCAGCGAATGAGACGGATATCCTTGAAAAAGGACACACTTTAAATTTAGAGGTAAAGGTATAAAGCTGAACCAGAAAGAGTACATATATCACTGCGATAGCATAAAAAGGAGTTAGGTGAGTGACGTTTCGATGAAAAATAAGTTGTTTTATTTAACAGAACAGAATATTCATGAATTAATGAAAACAAAACACGTAGTGTTCAGCGAAAACTCTCTTTTCGGTGGCGAATTCATTCACTTAGCTGTACAATTGCAATTATATATAATTTTTTGTTTTGTATGTATGGTCATTAGCTTTATCAGATAAGAGTAAAATTAGTCAGGGTTTACGTCATCAAAGTATTTCAAAATTTTAATGAATAATCAGATTGTGACTAGGGGGAGGGGTGTGGCGTTCGATCCCCGGCCGACTCACTCCTTTATCTTGCTAAGTCAGTAATAAGACTGGTAAAGAGGAAAGGTCCGGTATAGGGCTAGCAACCCCAATCTCGTAAAATTAAGCACCACTGCTTCAAGCCTGTAGCTTGAAGCCCTGTGTTCTACTGGGAACGTAAAGGAATAAAAATCTCTTGGGAGGGGGTGGTGAAGATTAGTATGAGGGTGGTGATGGTTTATCAAAAAAACATAGTGGTCAGTGCTTAAGAGAAGTTGAATAAGTGTACTGTAGTTGAGTAACAAGATGAATATTGAATTGAATTTTTGATTTTCCCGTCGATTGTTTGGACCGAAGTGCTCGGTCTCAGGTTGACATATCGGCTTCTTGTGCAGATGCTTCGACGTGGCCCAAGTGGTCTAGTGGATAACGCTTTGGTGTTTGAAACTATGGGTACTGGGTTCGAGCCTCGGTGGGAACGTCATCACTCACTGAGAAATGCAGGTACATCTAGCTGACGAGTCCCAAATAGGACGAAATGCGCTTTATCCTGGATTCCACTGCTAGCCACCATCCACCAATTGTAAACAAGATGAATAGTTTGCAATTAATAGTGTTCTCTGAGCTGGCTAGTTTAGTTGCGGAGCTTTCGTCGTCCTTCTGGACAACATCTTCAGCGCAATTTTTAACATAAAGTGGACTGATTTAATAGTTTAATGACTGAGTCTTGATTAGGATGTACGTAGAAACGAACGAAAATATGGGATTGTATAAGATTTGTAAACAAACACAAGAATTATAAGGAGTTAGAAAAGCAGGCATACAAACATGAAGTCAGCAGAAATCAACACGGTTGTTGCCATGATAGTGGAAGCGGTTTAATGGTTTTCTTTTGCATACATATCTCTGGTTTTCCCAACTGAAACGAAAGCGTATTACCTTTGGTAGGTTATTCTTGACTTTGTAGATTACTTTGAAGGAGGTGTTTGCTGAGGTGGAATGATTAGTGTTGACAAGGTGGTCGATTATCGCACTTTTTACAGGGTCACTACTACCCTTCTGTAGCCATGTGGGATAGTGTTGTCGAATCCTTTTAGACAAGATATGTGTCGAACGACCAATGTACCTGGCTCCACAGCAGACCAATGGACGATTGGAGAGCGCTACTCTTGGCGTTGTTGCAAAGAGTGTTCTTTCAAAGATGCTGAAATTCTTCTCTGAGGGATATCTCAAGTTAAGTCTCCCTTGAAATCCTGGTTCGTGTGAAGTTAATTTTTTGGAATAATATATATATATATATATATATTGAACAGAATGTATAGAAGGACACAAGAAGTAATACAGATGGAATACCTTTGTTTCGTAGATATTGAACATTAACGTCGTCGTATAGATTCATATTACCCTTTACACGTTTATTTCATTTGATGTTAGATGGTTGGAGGCAGTCGGTAGGAAGCCCTGTCTAACTTAGGTTTCGTGTTTGTTGGCACTAGTCAGCTAAAGGCGTATATCTGCAATCATGAAAATCCAGTATGGGGCGGATTCGCAAAGGATCAATGCCGCTACTGTTGCTAATAATGATGATAATGATGACCTCTACTCAACTTAATTTTGGTAATTTTTTATCGATTTTTCTCTATAATACACGCCTACTTTTTTATTGTATTCTATTTTTTAGGCGAATGGCTTGGTCGTATTTAAGTTTTCGGTTATGGATTGGTATTTGGGTATCAATCGCTCTGCTTATCATGGTTGCACTCGATTTAAGCGCCCTAGTCAAGTTTATAACACGTTTCACTGAAGAATCATTTGCTTCATTAATTGGTCTAATATTTTTCATTGAAGCACTGAAGAAAACTTATGCTATATCAAAGAAACATAAAGTTGATTTGTAAGTCATATTGTTCAGAGCTTTTATTTGATCCTTTATTTTTCTCCTGCATCCGTTATTTGTAGTTATTTAATTCAACATTTGCGTTCTGAAGTGGCTGCACAAATGCCTGCAAGCTTTCATATCCTCCTTTTCACATGCGATCATCGTGTCACTTTCGGAATCTCATGTCTAATCCCCCGTAGCCTCAAATTTGGGTTGCAGTGGAGGTTCTGTCTGGTCTGTGTGTGTTTGATACCAATTAACCACGGTCTTTCCCATTTCCTCCTACATATTTGTCTTGTAATAAGTAGATTGTTGGATGGATTACCGCTACACCAGAGTTTACTTTTGATTATCGTTCCTAGCCAACCAGCCATCTTATCTTTATTATTATTATTATTTATTATTATTATTATCAAAAAGACATCTGTTGAGGGAAGTTTACTGTAGCCTGTACAGAAGGCTCTAGACAGTATAGAAATACTGATTTGACATTTGACAAAATTCGGACATTGTTTCCTTGGTTAGATATCCACGCTGAAAATTCCATACTTGTACCAAAAATACAGTGTAGAATCAAGCTGTAATCAAAATAAAATGTAAAAAAGGTTTACAAATCGCATCGCTTTTGAGGACACCTTCCTTAATTTCTCGATCTGATCCTGGCTTTGACGTCGTCCTCATACCTGCCATTTGTGTTTGAAAGAGACCATTTTCTTTAGGTTTCTCCCATTGCTATGGTTGGCCCATATTACGTACATACGTACCTTCGTCACATGAAATTCTGTCTTCACTTTTTTATTGCATGCTGTCAGTGAATTTGAAACAATTCTCTAGATATCGGGAATTTCTTGATTACTTTTTAAGGTTTTACAACTATCAATTATTATCGAATACTTAGATAGATTGTCAATTTACTTTATTCAAGTCACATGTTCAGGTGAGTAGTGTGTTCTATCTACACTAATGTAGTTATTCTTCCTCTCTGATTCTAATAAAATTTGTAGATAATGTTTATCAAAAAAGAGTATATTGTGAAGCGGTTCTGGCTGGTTCATTTTACAATTTGTAATATAATAATATTATGCTCATTGAAGTTTAAGAAAACAAGAATTGTTATAAATCTTCGATCATCAACGTAATTCTTTGAACTCACTTCCTGGAATAAATGTTTACGTTCGAGGCTAAGAACTACAAATTTGTTTTGTGAAGGTTCACGATACCACTCAGCTAACCAGCCTAAGCCTAAGTGGATCTGGCTTCGAATCCGGGTTCGACCAGTTGAAAGCTGATGAGATGATTTAATTGTCAAGCTTTCATTATCTTACTAAACAACTGCAGCGTTGACTCTAACATAACCAGAGCAATGAATCCTCCTTATAGAACTGTTGTATTTATTTAGGAATTGAATTAAACTGATGAGATAGTGGGTTGTCACAGTCAAGAAGGCATTTGAGTAAAGCATATACTGAGGAAAATTCAACAGTTTTTACAGGATTTCATCATGAGCTGACATTAGTTAGAGAACTATTGGAAAACCTGGAGTACTGGATATCTGTTTCGTTCCAGTTTGGGATTCTTCATCAGTACACAACCACCGCGATTCGAATCCAGGACCTTCCGGTTACAAGGCGAGCTCGTATACCATTAAGTCACGGGGACCCGTTCCACTGGTCCTTGAATTCTAACTTCTGTCAATTCACGATATAGCGCGAGTATTTGACCTCACACCCGACCTGCTGCACCCTACTGGTCACGACTTCTCACTAGAACCCCAGGTAACTACCTACCTGAATATGGCAAGTCGCTAGTGAGCATCATTGATATTTAAGTGTTGGTTTGTAGCCAACCAATCAAATTCCTACAAACCAACACTTGAATATTAACAGTTTTTAATCCGATGAAGTTACTGACTGCATGAAACTATGTATTGCTGATTGGCGGAAATGAGTAGCTGTATACCACCCCTATTAACCAGTAGTTCTTGCTGCAAATAGATCGTTTCACTCGTTTGGACCGAACTCAAAAAACAACAGAAGGTGTAACAGCAATAAAATCCCTTCTCAAAGAATCATCCCCTCAATCTACTATACATTCAGATTTGCATTTAGCAAAGAAGTCATAAAATCAACTAAATACTGATAACTCTATCCTAGAAAAATGTTACGTAATATGAGATGTAATTTAGAAGGGATTCGAAACAGGAAGATGCAATTATGTTGCAAGTGTAAAAAATGACCTGGTACACAGACTTGTCCAATATTACAGAAGGCAGCTTCAAATACGTGATTACACATATGACCAAATTGCCCGCTCCCCTATTCGGGAACCAAAATATTACATGCACTTACCGACCCACATTATCGCTATAGTTTTGTTTCATTTTATTGTTTGATGTTTAACTTGTTTTTTTTATTATTTTCGTTGCGATTGTGGTTTTATTATTATTACTGTCTATTAATAAGAGTACGCTTCTCGTATAGATATTATATAAACACTTTACTGTATTTCCACTTATGTAATTTCACCTTCTCTATTTCAATCTACACTTATTCCATTCGCTATTACATCTCATACTTGTTATGATTTATTTTATCTTATTCCTTTGCGCTCCAAGAGGAACATAGGGCCTCAAGATAGAGCTTTGAAGTTTATTTAATAACTGTTATGTTCTTACGGGGTGGAACTGCTAACCTCACGCCAAAGCTTCCCTTTTTACGGTACCTACTATCGGCTAGTTGAGGGTAAGGAAATGCATCAGCCGAGGATTGAACCCCGGACCTTATCATGGTTGGCGAGTATTCTATCGCTGCACCACCGAAGCACACACATTTTTTCACTACAGACTACATTTTTATAGAACATAGTGACCAGTATTTAACTGGTTTTATGTGAATCCTATGTTAAATATAAGTGCGACTGAACAGCATCGGTGATTCAGTGGTAGAGAACACTGGCCAAACTACGTACTTTGACCCAAGGTTCGATTCCCTAGCTGCTGAGGTACTATTAAACCTTGTTTATTTGGCAGTAAAACCAGTAAAGAAAGAAAGTTGGACGTGAGGCTATAAACAACCAAACACCTTTAAGAAAGAAACACCACTGCTACTGAAACTCTGAAGTCTTCGATTGATTTCAACGTAGTTTTTGTCGGTAAAAACTAACACCTCAAAAGCTGTGATTAAAAATCGTGTAAATTCAATGCAGGCTTTATCTCCTGCTTATTGTCAGCTTCAAAATGCATATTATGAGGTTCTATAGAAAAGTAATGGTCTGTGAAGTTTACCATTTCGGATGTAAAAACACGAACGCTCATCGATTATATCGGTTGATATTTGGCAGTTGAATAAGAGTGCTAGAGTTGCGTTATAGAATAAATGGTTGAATGAGTTGTAATCAGGATGCGTATAGAAATAAAGGAATATGTGATATTGCATAAGAGTTTGAAAGAAATGCAAGAGTCATAAAGAGTTTAAAAAAAAGTAGGAATCAAGTTGGTTGAAAACAACACTATTTGTAACCATGGTAATTAGAAGTGGTTGAATAATTCTATATGTACCCAGAACTCCGCTTTCTCTGAATGGTTAGAGCTTCCTGCAGCAATGCAGAAGGGATGTCTTGTCTTTGGCAGATTATTCTTCACTTTTGTAGAATAAAGAATATATACCATATATCACTAACCCCTTGACCTATAGTTCTTTTTCTTCTCTTTGATTGGCGTCTTGTTTAGTGAATTGTTCTAATGGGACAAAGTATTAGAGCTAAGTGTTTTGATAATTCATAAGTGGGGGTATTTCTAAAATCTACTATTGGTCTTATGGGGTAACCTGGTTTATGTATTTTAATAGTACCATATATTCTACTAGTATTATTAGTTTTAGGCATTAAAGTAAACCATTTAGACTCACCCAGTGACGGCTTCATTCTCCGTAATAATTCCGCTGTAGATTTCTTTACCTTATTCATTATTGTATCTACAGGCTTCCTAATTTCCTCATATGGACATAACGTAACAGTTAATAAATTAAAACCAGAGGACTTAGTGAATTGTTCTTGCTTAATATCCTTCTCTTATCTCATAAAGCTGATCTACTATAGCATAATCGTCTAATGCTATATACTACAGATGGCTTGACTGATATAAGTTATTGAGTACCCCACTTGCATCAGCTGGTAGTATTAGTCGTAGTCGTAGTACTCTGTAAGTCGAATTAAGCCAAGTACACAGCTGATAGTGAGATTTTAGCTCCAAACAAACAAAACATCCGTCCGATGGTGCTCTTAGATTACTTCGATCTGGCTAGCAGGTAAACGCTGCTAATTGACATAAATAGTATTCAGCTAGTCACATCAATCAATAAATCAACAAGCAATATTTAGCATCATGTATTGACACTTTCTTAATTGTCATTTGTGTTAACACATACGCCGTGGTGATCTGAATAATTCCGGTTTCCAAAGTAACGTATGGTTAATATTCACCTGCAACTGTGCAGATAGTAAATTGTGAATTTCGCCCTATCTTCAGCAGTTACCATCACGAAAGAAAGAAGTCTCATGCTAAAATTTAGTTATGACTATTACTATTAACTTATGTAATAGTATGTGATGTATGTAAATCTACTATTTCAGTCAATTCTATAAGCCACGGAGTAATTAAGATAATTAGTGTACCAAACTACTCATGTCAGCCAACTTGGCAAATCGAAGTTTGTCACCAAGCTCCGCTTCAGCCATGTACTCGATTTTACTGAACTCAAACAGAGAGAGAGAGGGAGAGCTGAATCAGCTCTAACCACCTGAATTCTGGCTACCTACTTGGTTGACATTTTAATCACACACTATAAATCAATAAGATACAAGTATCATATGTGTCTAGTCCTTTGTGCTAATATTAACTAGATTTTATCGTTTAAATTTGTGATATGATCACCAAGGTGAGGCAATTGACACTGCAGTGAACTTTATATTATTAATAGATAGTTAGTTGGTGGCAGTCGGTTGCAAGTACGATTTTTGGCCCTGTCACTAGCGGCCTCCGGTGGTTGACGCCTCCTTAGGTGGCTAGTAATTTAAGCCAACAGTCAAAGACTTGTTGGATTGATGTCACGTTTTGATTTAACCACCTCTAACCCTGTTCCAATCTAATCATATGCCATCCAAAATTCCTGGATATGTAGGGCGATGGTTTGGCTTGCGTAACACGTGATTTCCTCAACATCTCAATCAATGTAACTTCACAACCACATCGATTGTCTATATTCCCTTTCTTAGAATTTGCGGGTCAGTTGTATTCTGTCCCAGTAGCTGAGTTGAATGATGAGCAACCAGGTAACCTCGTGACCCAAAAGTCCTGGATGTTCAACCGCCGATGAAGGGGTCATTAGTGAGTTCTACTAAAGCGTGTCTTAGTACCCACTGGTTAGGTTAGTGATCAAAACTTGAAATCAACCAAAATCCCTGCAAATCAGTTATTCACTTGGAAAACTAGAGAGTTACATTCAAACGGTTCACCTTTATAAAATTGTTTTAACTATTTTACGTTGTTCCTATTTTTTTTTTGAAAAATAGAATAAATTTGTATTATTTTATTTCTACAGTATATGCATATATATATATATATATTTGTGACTTAATAAATTTTTTTAACTCTATAGCATCTAATAGTGTAGGGCACTTACTTGTCCGTTTATCTTTCCATCCTTCGCTTGTGTATGCGTGTGTGTTTGTGTTTGTGTGTTACCCTACATTCTTCTTTTGTCAATCTTCTGCCGAGTAACCGACCCTTCCCTCTCTTTCCTGCCTCCCTTCATTCCTTTTTCTCTTCATTGTTTTTATTTTTATTTTTATTTCAGTTGTCCCTGTTTGTTGTTGGTGCTGTTGTTGTTCGTCTTTCGGTACACGTGTGAATTTTATTTACATATTTAATTAATAATGTTGTGTTGTTTTCTCACTCGGTCACACCTTCTTCAAAAATTTGTTTTATCTTATGATATGCAAAATGCTGACAGAAAAAACAACAGGGGAAGATTTTTAACAACAACAACAACTTTGATCGCATTCTTTCTAAAGAAAGAATATATCAGTAAATCCATTGCTGTTTTAACTTTAAATAATAATGATAATATTACTCTATGAGTAAAATGAAGTTAACTTTGATAGGATATTGGCGTAATGTGTCTTTGACCGCAGGACTGGGCGACCTAGTTTCGAATCTCAAAAGAAATATAAGTTCATTTATCAAGACTGAAGATACGCGTTTTTTGTTTGATAAGTACGCCAACAAGCACGAAACCTATGTCAAACAAGACTTCCTACCGGTCGCTTTCAACCAACTTCCCCAGTATATATATTTCTAATTATGTAGTAATCACACTTTTTAATTTGGTAATGTTATACAATTTTTAATTTATTTCACGCTGGAGTTGAGGTTAGATATACACTGTGTTATTTCGGTTGTCAATTCACATGATTTTATCGTAGCCTGATATACTCAGTTGGTGTGTGTCTGTGTGTGTGTGTGTGTGCTGTTATCTATGCGCGTTCATAAATTAATATATTCATAGTGAAACTCGTTGCCTTAATCAAAGTGAAAAGTGCAAAGCATAGTTTATGATTTTATACAAATTTAACATCGAAAATGCATAATCAACATTACTTTGTCTAGACTTTAAAGTATAGTGTACATGTATGTGTGTGTGTAAAGTGTACCAAAAAGGGGCAACATAGTATGCAAATCAAAGTACACACATATATACACGTATACTCTATCTGAAATCACTCAATCATGTAAAACTGTATTGTGAGAGATGTCTTTTGAAGGCAAGAAGAAGAAGGGTGTTGGTGATGATGAGTGTTGTATCCTCCCTCTGGTACTCACTGTGACTACTTTCTTTTCTGTTTGATCACTGATTTTTGTCAGTTAGAGAGTCTTTGAAAACTAAAGTGTACTGGACAGCTGTTTTTTCCTAGTGTGGGATTCTTCAGACGTACGCATCCACTGAGGTGCGAACCTAGTCCGTTGATCATTCAGCCAGCCACTTGAGTTTGAACCCAACGTCCCATGAATCCTAACTTACGTCAATTCCCGATTTTAGCGCGGCCGCTAGCCATTGTCCTCGGCAAGTATTTCTCCTCGCAATCGAGCTGATGGACCTCACTGGTCATTAGAACTCCATTAGAACTTTCCCTTCGTAGTCAGTCACTATAGTTATAGTCTGTAGGGATTTTATTTGTTTCAAGTTTGATCGTGAATTGATGGCAGTTTTACTCAATTTTACTACACATGGATGAAAGGAGTTGACACTAATGGTTGATTGGTGAAATAATTAGCAGGATAGTACAATCAAAACTCTTGATAAAATACTTCAGTCTTCAGAATATCTTCAGTAAGTGATCTGAATACATTGTCATGAATTAATAAATACATTGTCAATGGAATAGGTTGTCTGTTTTCGACATAGAAAACAGACAGACAGAATAGGTTGTCAATTTCTCCAGATGACTGATTTTGTTCGGCTATTGCCTAATCACACTCTCATTTACCACGTAGGATGGGAGATAGAACGCATATGTCTGCGGTCAGAGACAGCCTCTTCAGTTTAGAAAGTGTTGAAGAGACCTCACAAAACTGCACAAACGTATGCAAATGGTATACACTTTTTATCGTTTTGCAAGTCTTGATTATCTCTTTTTCATATTCATATTCCTCTTGTGTAGTATCATGTTATTTCTGTTCACTTCCCTTCTTGTACATTTTAACGGAATATTATAACTCCTGAATTCCTGCATTGATCTGTATGTTTACGTGCGTATGAAATGAGGTTACACAAATGTCTGACACATACACACAGTATCATCACTTTGTTCGTCATATATCGAGCTAACCAACTACTGTTAGTTAGTACAAGAGTGACTTATTTTTGTGTTGAATGTTGTTGATTAGTCGGTTAGTTCTCATTTCACTACTTCAAATGTTATGATATTGTGAATTACAATTGTTCAAAGTTGACATTTTACATATGTCTCCTGTTCTCTCCAGTCGTCTTTAGCTGGTTCCACGATTGCCCATAAGCTCTCCTCTCTTCTTCACACTATCTCCCCCATGTCACCATCAGACTCATGCCTAACTGGCTGTTTCCCACTTAGCTTCCACTCAAGTGTGTGTGTGTGGTGCGTGATGTCACTAAACGGTCTCTTCGCGGTATTATCTAATTCATCTGGATTTTCTTCTGCTTATCTGTTGGGTAATGTGTTCTTGGTTGATTCGGTGCCATAGTTCTTGCTGCCAATCTTTTCTGACCATCTGTTCTTCACTATTGAAGCGGCGAAGGTAATTGGTTGAAGGTGACTAGCAGTGGGATCTAGAATGCGCATTTCGTCCTACTTGGGACTCTCCGTCTGGACGTACCCCTAGTAAGTGATGATGTTCCCACCGAGGCTAGAACCCATTGCTCATAGTTTCAAACGCCACATAGGACGAAATGCGCCTCATGGATTCCACTGCTAGCCATGTTTCAACCAATCGACTTCAAATTACATGACCAAACATTGTCGTCAACCTGAAACCGAACAATATCAGTGAAAAGTTTGAGCATTGTGGATTAGATCAAATAAAGTATAATTATATTTCAATAGTTTACACACAATGATAAGTTTTGTTATTGGTAATATATATAATAAATATAATTATACTTTATTTGAGACCGAACACTTCGGTGCAATCAATCGACAGGAAAATCTAAATTGAACTAAGCACTAAGGCAGATATTTAATGGAAGTCTACAGTTGTTGCAAATTATCTCCGTAAGGTAAGCGTCAAGTTTCTGAACCATATAGGAAACACTGACTGACTTGAGTTTAGTGTTGAAAATCCGAAGCTTGTTGTTAATGCTTAGTGCAGTAAATTTTGACACTGATTTCAGATTAAATGAAAGTCTGTCTTGGTTTTCCGATCCGTTTAGCTTTGACATGGCTCCTCAATGGTTCCGCCTGTTGTAGTTGTAATGGTAGCGCTAAGATGGGTAGATATTTTTGGTCTATAATTTCATCGTTCTATCGTATTTTTCTTTATCATTGTTTCTTCATATAATTTGATCTCTTGATTTTTGTTTTTAGAGCTTGGTCACCAGATCTAATTGATAAACATCATTGTGCATGTCTTAAACCACAAAATCAAACTGACTATCAAACACTATCAACAATGTATGAAAATCACCCGCTAACTTATATCCCATTGCTTGGATTCAATTCATCATCACCATTTGAAGCAGAATCTCTAGCAGATTTAGCTGATGTAAGCGAAAATGTGTTCAATGTGATGACTGTAGTGTGTGTGTGACGGTGTTATTGTTTTTTGACAGTTCTAGCATTTTTAAGTGTTGGTTTACTAAATTTTGATTGATTTTAAGTTAGATCACAAACTAACACATCTGTTAGAGAAACATTAAAAATCAGTGAGTACTGGATTGGCTGTTTTGTCCTGCCATGTCACTATTCAATGGTGCACACTCACAACCTCTTTAGTAGGGGGTCGAACCTAGGTCCTTCGGGTTGCGAGGTGAGCTCATTGAACATGTAATCACTAGGATGGAATCCAATGACTTACCAATTCTGATTCTGCTAATTCTCAATCTATGGAGCCACTGCCTTCATACAATATCACCAAACCCAGCAAGGGTCACAAAGTCCCTCTGGAATTTGAAGAAACTCCATTTTGCAATCAGGGACTCACTAGTAAAGATTAGATTCTGTTCCTTACTCTAGTTTAAGTCTGTGTTTCCGTATTTAGTTTATATTTTATATGTATAGTATAGTCGCCAACATAGGTCAGGGGTCATTATCACAGTTATTACTGAAAGTAAATCAATGTAAATAGTAATGAATAGTTATTAGGAGAAAGAAGAAAGAAAATTAGAGTTTATTACGCAATAAACCAAACAACAAATAAAATTTGACACTAAGGCCATGATAGTAAAAAGATTGCTGGACAAAATGTTTCTAAACACTAAGTTGAGATTTCTTCCCATAGATGATGGGAAAAGATCCGACTTTATGAAGGTGGGGGGTGGGTAGATGTATGTGAAACCCTTTTTGATTTACTTGGTCGTACCTTTTAGAATATTGACACCGAATGAAGTCTCTACTGATGCTTCATGAGTCAAGCAGTATAATAATATGCTGAAGAAATGAAATGTTGACCATTCCACGTTTTTCCTTCGACAGTGAGATGTTGGTAGATGTTCATAAGCACATCTAGACAGTGTCCTGCTAGTACACTTAACTTCATGGGAGTAGGTGAACTAACTGGTAACTGCACATCGAAGTTGACAACGTTTCGGTTTTAATATCACTTAGGAAGAATTTCAAAAGTCGTTAAGAACTTCTCATATCAGAAGCACTTCTCATTACCTGGGATCTAAATTTCTCTGAGGAACAGGAACGATGGATTAGGAGTGAATTCCCTTTGGTCCTAACACCACTCCCATCATAAAATTACGAATTCAACACAGCTGGGTAAGCGAATTCATTATATGAACACATAAAATTGGGACGTGTGCTACTGACAAGGTTTATCAAGGCCTTGATGTGATTATGAGCAATAATATGTGCTCTAAACGTCATCAATAAATATTAGGGTATAACACTGTATGATTTTATCAAAATTAAATTTTATCCATAATGGAGTTATACTCTACTACAAGGCCCAAGCTTTATTCTTACAGAAAAAACTACACTTAAGTTACCGTGTCCAAACTGAGATTATCTAAAGTCTGGTTGAATATTACTGTAACAATAACTATAAAAACTTAAATTATGTGTTGTTTTTATAGGGATTTGAATCAATCTCATCGTAGACTTCATCGTAAACTAAAACGTCAGTTACAGATCGCTAAAAACCATCACGAAGCACCCGAAACCTGTTTCGTCCTAGTTTAAGACTATTACAAATTGAAAAAAAAATTGAGAATTCATTGATCATTTGATATGTGGGTGTGGATAGGTTGCCTGGAAAATGAATTGATCAGTTGTCTCATAAATAACTAGACAGACAGTATATATATCATTGTTCCTCTTATAGTTGCTTCTTTGGCACAACGGTAGAATGTTCGCCACCCACGCAGGTAGTTTTAGGTTCGATCCCCGGCCGACTCACTCCTATACCTCGCTAAGCCCGTAATAAGACTGATAACGAGGGAAGGTTGGGCATGAGGCCAACGCCATCCCGTAAAAATATTAAGCACCACTGCTACCGAAACTTGAAGCCCTATGTTCCACTGAGAACGTAAAGGAATTTTTGAAAATTTTCCTCTTATAAATATGTACTTTCCGTCTCACCTTGTGGTGTATCCTCGATTAATTGGCGACCGGGAATTAGATAGCTGTGTTGTTGACGTCGACAAGTGTGATATACATGATCATCACGTCTGTGCCAGACTGTGCGTCCTTATTCAACCCGGTGATTTTGCAAAATATAAAATAATTGAATAAAAAAAGTCCCAAACGAATGTGTAACAAGAGGTAGTTTTCAATGATCCCTACTATCTGGTGTGTTGATGGTTCGTCGTGACGATATCTACATTGAAAGCTATTAACAACAGAAGTTAAATAGCGAAACTTCAGTTTATAAACAAATATAGTTTTATGTTTACATTCATTAGGAAATACAAAACAAATTTTCTATAGTTTGGTTTGTAAGGGTTTGTTATGTTTTTACGAGTTGATCACGGATTTATATCAGCTAGAAAACCATTGAAAACCAGGGAGTACTGGACAGCTGCTTTTTCATCCTACTCATTGTTACACTATCTGCCTTTTGATTTATTCATTTTATTCCCTGGTGATTTTATTATCACTTAGAAAAAAATCGATTGGGAGGCAATTTCACGTGGTCGTTATTCGTGGAAATCACAAGAATATCAAGATCTGTGTGTTCAGTTGAATGGTACTTGGACAGGGACTAGTTGTCGACCATTCTATGTACCCGATGTCTTTTTCTTCTCGTGTTTACTATTTGTAGCAACATTTATCTTAGCCTTTTCAATGAAGTCAATGCGTAATTCCCCCTTCTTTCCTAATCGTGTAAGTTGATATATTTATTTATTGATTCATTCATTTCTGTTTTTGTTTCCCCTATGATTTGCACTTGTGGTGTTTTGATATCGTCACGATTCTACATTGTTTGAAGGATAAACTTCCATATATATATATATATATATATATATATATATATATATATATATTGTGCACTTTTATGTGCGTATAGCATTTGACATTCTCTTGTGTAGAGCTGGGTTTACATTGAACCTTGTAGCTGAATGCTATCCGGTTTGGTTGATGGAGAGGTCAACACATGATGATGAAGTTTTCTATCTGTGAACATTTTCTTAAATCAGGTCACTCAGCCCCCTTCCTCTACATACGATTTGTCCTATAGTAAAGCCATCTTCAAGGCTAAATTCACTTTCATTGCTTGTTATATAAGCTGAAGCAGTAGCTATGCGATTCACTGCGTATTTGCGTGTGTTTTAGTGTCGTTGACGTTTTGAAAGGATGTAGTAACTCTCTGTGTCTTTGCTACTCTGTATTGATGGTCTGTATATAATGATAGCTCTGTCGAAAAGATTCTTATTACTATTATCTTTGAGGGAGATCGGCTACTGTTGTAGACTAACTGGATAGGATGGGGATAGTTCCCCATCTGTTGTTGTATTTGTTGAGTTTGGTTAAACGGATTCTACAGTCATCTTTGTCGGTAAAGGAAAGCTATGCAGCAGCTACCATCGTCGACCTTGAACAAATAATTGTTTTACTTGGTGGTAAATCGCGGCACAGTGATCACGAATCGAGAGAGAGGGAGAATATGTATCCATAATTGTGTTGACTACTACATACATACATAATGATGTCAAGACAGTCCTTCTATATGGTCCACAGACTTGGCGTTTCAACAAAAGCATCTTTAACAGACTGCTACAGCCTTTTAGCAACAGTCGCCTTGGCTGCGTACTGAAGATCAGATGGCTGGTCACAAAGGTTTGGACATCAAGGCACTCTGACAATGAACCAGCCAAGAATCTACTGCCTTAAAAATATGTCGAAGAAAAGTAGTGATGGATCGGACATACTCTGAGGAAATCGCTGAATGATATTGAGCACCAGATAGATGCTCGGTAGGAATCCGAACTAAAAACCATAATTTTGGATCTGGTCTGAGTGAGGATGATTGGAAGAGATCATCTAAGGAGGATATGAGAGCTTATGGACAATTTTGAAGCCAAGTAAAGACAACTGGAGAGAACTGGATGAAATGGAGATGTGCTGTTGATGAAGCCCTATGTTGTTCTACTCGAAATCTGAGGGAATAATAATGAAAAATAAAAGTTGCGAAATTATTAAAAGGATGAACATAGATCATAGTGTTCGGAGACCCATTTTTTATTTCTGATTCTGTCCTGTATTTCTGTCTCCAATAATCTCACTTATCCCTAGCGCATAAACATGTTTAAATAAACTTCCTAATCAATCCATTACTCACACAGCAATACAGAACACTCAGTCTTGAAAATAGATAATAGATAATCCCGAACAGAAGGTATAATTTAATATGGGTGTTATGCCATCAGCAGTTCTGTTTGGTTGTTCAAGGTTATGTACCGGAGAGATTGGCTGCTACAGTTTAACTAGGCCTCTCTGTCTATTGAATGAAGCACAGACGAAGAGTGAGGGAATGCTTATTTGTAAAATAATCACAATGATGCTTAATAATAATCAATATTGTGTAGGTGGCCAAGTCAAATTGTTAACCAATAGAAAATGTGAGATAAATAGATTGAAGGTCATACGCGATAATTAAAATTTGCTAATTTCCCATCTGCATCGTAAATATAGCATCTCTGACAAAAGCGAGTCAATTCAGTTACGAGCATTTATCATCCTATGCAAATGGAGGATATATGTTGTTATGCGCGCTTAATCACTCGCTGTGTGTACATTAAAGTACTGTTTTTAGCTGATCAAAAGAAACAAGTTAGAAGTAACCTTAAAGGTGTGTGTGTTTGTGGTTAGACAAAAATATGACATCAGAATAACTGACTATCTGTTATGAATTGTCTAGTTAGCACTCTGTAAAATCAAACTACCGCTACTAAAACCTCGGAAGAAGACTCTAAAAAACTGTCAATCAATGGGAAAAATCAATCTCCTACCTGAAGGCTATTCCAAGTAGTGTGATGTATGTTATTCGTCACTTTCTAATTTCACACAGTTTGAGGTGCGAAATCACAATATGTGTTAGCTGCTTGGTAATGTTGATAATGAGACAACGCAAGCGATATATAATATGATGTTTCGTATTACTACTACTACTACTGATTCATATAAGTAGGCAGGAGCTATTAACACCAAACAGTACTGCTTCGTATCCACCTCAACCACCGGACGACCATCTCGCTCGTTAGGAACTAAATCCAAGTAGGTATCAGGAATTCAGTTAACTGATTCAACTCTTTCTCTCTGAGCTGAGTTACACCGTAGTGTATATACACTGCTGACAAGAAGCTCGAACCCAAACAGGCGAAGCAGAAATACGCATTATTTAGATCACCCCTATGTGAATTAAAATTAAGATTAGTTGGACTACGATAACTTTAAATGTTCTTTGTTAATATTGACTTTATTTGTTCAGTATCTACAGGTAGAGCTGGCTACTAATAGACCTTGTTTATCCCTTTTTTGCTTAACTATGCTGTGTGCTGCTGACCAGAAATGCGATAATGAACATGCCTATTTACACGTTGTGTACAAATCTTATTATATTTTCTTCAGTAGTAGTCTGTTCCACAGGTTTTGGAATGCTTACTTCGAATTGATGTTAAACTGTTGGTGAAAATCAGCAGGAAATCCAGTTTGAGCGATGTTTCACGCTCGTCATCAAGGTGTATCCGCAATCGTGAAGAAGCTCACCTTGCACAAAACTTAGGTTAGATACGCAGCTTTCAACCGATCACCTACAACCATCTAACATCAGGACTGAGAGTGCATCATACTACCGTACCTACCTAGCTCGCTACTGACCACATTGCAAAGTTCATTTGATAAAATTTAATCTATACCAAAGCCAAGGATTAGTCGGGGCGTGACATGGTGGCACAGTGGTTAGGACTCTCGCCGACCATGCACATGGTCCGGGGTTCGAGCCCACGCCGGCGCACACCTGATATCTATGGTTGGCCTGCAAAATTTGGGCTACCGATATCCATGCTGAAAATTCCATACTTGTACCAAAAATGCAGTGTGGAATCAAGCTGTAAATCAAAAATCAAAAAAAAAAAATTAGTTAATACTAAATGTTCTATCAGAATGCTTACTCTACTTTTGAGTAATAAAAACAACTACTGCCAATACAACCATATATATTTTTTAAATTTTGATCACAGAGTGATATCAATTAGAGAACCATTGATAACCGAGGAGTACTTGATAGCTGTCTTACCCCAGGTTGACACTTATCGTCAGTACGCACGCACGGGGTTTTGAACCCTGGACCTACCAGTTACAAGGCAAGCTCATAGACCATTCAACCACTGGGACGCGACTCAGTGGCTGGCTCTTGAATTCTGACATCTACTAATTCGTGATTTTAGCTCGGCTGTCATTCGTGGCGAGTATTTGTTCTCATTTCCCACAGGATGGATCCCACTGGTTACGACTTCTCACTAGAACCCTTGGAAACTCCGTTATGTAGTCAGTCACTAGCGTGTATGTATGTGTATTATAAAGGTTAAATATATATTTTTGCTTTTGACTTTTGTTACTGTTGGTTGTTTTTTATCTTTATTTTCAGGTCAAATCATCATTTGACCTTTTCCACTCCCACCATCCCCTTTTACTTCTTCGTTTTCCTCTTAGTCCAGATTTTCTTATCAATAATAATTCTGCGTACTTTTATGCCTATTCCTCCTTCTCCTCCTCCTGATGTCTGTGTATTTCTGATTATGTACATGCTTGTCTACGTGTGTGTGTGTGTGTGTCTGTGTGCTCGCGTGAAGTATAAGAAATCATAGTAAAGCCTAAATTATATTGACTGGTAGTTGTTTGGTTTAGTTAACTAAAACACATATTACATTTAGTGTTATTTACTAAAAAATAAAAAAATAAGCTGTAGAATGATGGGGATAAATGGGGAAATATATATATATTAAGTCTGTTTAACTGAACTAGCCAATCGACCGATCAATCAATCGATGCATCCACTCCCCCACTGTATCTCTCCTTATCTGGTGCGCGCGCATCCTCGTTCTGCTATACCAACCAACAACAACAGATTGACTGACGACTACTGGGTTGACTAACTAACTAACTAAACAACTAACCAACCAACCAAACTAACTGATTAACTTTGGGCCAGAAATAAATTTTCCTTTAGCTTTAATATTATTCCCACTTTTCATTCACTATTTATAACTAGAAATGAAAAAGAGAATGAAAGACAGCGTCTTATTTTTGGGATATATGCCTAGTTCAGTGTGTGTGTGTGAGAGAGAGAGCGATAGAGAGAGACAGTTACGGAGTGTAGCATAAATACAAAAAAAACAAGGTTCAATCAGGAATACGGTTACATCGTCTCTGTTTGTATGTCCAGTATTATGGAATACATCAATATATATTAGTAAATATCGATTTTCTGGAAAAATATTCAGCGAAACACCAATGGATACTTCAGAGGAAAAGGTTCTTTTCCTAGTGATTTTCTTTCTTTTGGTTTCATGAAAGAGAGATGCATTGTCAAAAGCATTATTTTTTATGCATTCTTTGAGTTGCGCGTGGAACATGCTGAATTGCTGTCTGCCTGACAGACTGACTGGGTTTCAGCATAAAATTTCGCACAACACTGAATCAGTTTAAGTCGCCACAGTCTCCATTTATAAATAAATGCCAAAGAATAATATTGAACTGAAACGTATGTATGGGTGTTGTGGAAAGATTACAAATAGAGTGAGTGCCACCGTGAATAATTTTGAGTCATATTGTAATGAGAGAAGAATAGAAGCTTGGTAAAAGAATGTTAATCAGCAATTGAATATACATATAGAGGCAAAATTGCATACACCTTTTTATTAAAATCTTCATTTGTACAGATTTTCCGTATTGTTGTACCACTTCCGTCCTTCATATTGTGTTTCTTTGTCTTCTTTTCGTATCTCCCATGTGTGTTTACTTCCAATACTGATTCATTTATTCTCTTTGTCGTCAAATCTATCTCTCCACTATTTGATATTTTTGTGTCGATCAAGGTCTTGTCAGTAGCACATGCCACAGTATGACTAATAGTCTCAGGCGTGTCGATGATCCCAGCCAGACTATTTACTCCAGCCCAGGTGGCGAAGTGGACCATTGAGCTTCAACGATGCGTCTCAGTTACATTCGGTCCTCAGCTAATCGATTTAAACTGGCTCTAAGACTATCTTCAAATAATCTCTTCCATATCACATTCAGAGCTATGCTCAACCTGTCTCTTCCCATTCGGTTTCCACTTGAACGTGTGTCTGTGTGACGTGCGATTTCACATCAGCATCTCAGCGTTTGTCTGACCCATCCATCTCAATTCCCATATTCATATTTGTTAGGCAATAAGTGTTTAACTGGTTTGCTGCCTACCAGGGAATTACTTGTTACATGTCATAAGCAAATTTCCTTATATTAATCAAATACGGAAATCAGTTACACGGTACAAGGATATTAGCCACACTTATTGTGTGTGAAATCTAACGATACTATCATTTTCTAATCCAGACTGAAGTAGATGCGTGGTATATTGTATGTGATGTCTTCTGCAAGAATATTCAATAGCAAAGCAATGGATTAAACGGCGAAGAGGAGAAGTGAAAAATCCTTGTGAATTAACATAGAAAACATAAAAGGAAGACACAAAAAGAACAATTGAGGGATAAAGTGTGCGTATAGTTGTCTTAATGTGAGATATATTTATTTTGTCATATTTGTACGTCAGCTGGCCAGTAAACAATTCCTCTACTAAATACAACCATGTTCTACTGTTACAGATGTAGCGAGATAAACTTTTTCATTTTGACTTAATGGATCAAGAGCAGATGGGATAGGATTCCAGTTTTCTTATTTTCTAGAACTAATTAATACTTCAGCCTTGCTTTATTTACTATCTCGCTAGTTTTCTAGCCAGTCCCAAGGCCAAGAAAAGAAGAGGGTTGGGCGTGTGGGGCTAGCGACCCTACCCCAGAAAACCAGTCAGACTACTACAGAAACTTCAGCGTACAAGAAAAATATTGGAAATACAAAAATATATATATATATAATGAACTTATTCTTCGCTGGAATCGGAGAGGTGAAATGAAGCCACGGGCTGGCGAAAGCCTTCGAGAAAGCAGTCAGCCGATGTGTCCTCTTTCTATGAAAGCAAAAATGAGGGATGAGGATGTGGAATGTTCTTACAGTCTACGAAGCTGGGAAAGCTGCCCAGGTAACCAGTCAAATCAGAAGATATGGTATAGAAGTGGTCAAAATCTGCAGAAGGAGGTGAAATGAATGTGGACTATCGAAGTTGTCAACTGGAGATTCAGAATTCTACTCCGGCCATCCTGATATAGCCAACAGCAGAAGAAGCTCTAATGAATTGGAGACAAGTCTCCGCCAGGATTATAACAGAGAAATTCAACTCAAAAGGAAGGAGGGTTACAGTGATCCAATATTCGCAAATACAAACAACTCGGAACAAAAGAGGAAGGAAGATTTTTATAGACAATTACAAACAGTAGTGGACAGTCTCCCGAATGGTGACATCAAAATCCTCATGGGCGATATGAACGCCAAACTGGGACCTGATAACACAGGAAGAGAACTCATCATGAGTCGAGAGGCCCTCGCTGGAGAAATGAATGACAACGGAAAATTTTTCACAGACTTCTGTGTATTCGGTGATATGGTAATTGAGGGTAGTGTGTACAAACACAAGGATATACACTAAGCAACGTGGATCTCTCCTGATGGACACCCCACAGACCGAACAGATTTCATCTCAATGCTACTCAAGGAAGTGGAGACGCAGTCTGCTGGACACAAAATCGAGAAGGTGAGGAGATGTGGCCTCAAACCATCGTCTAGTTCAAGGAACCTTCAAGGTGAATCTCAAATCCTTCTAAGCAACTGGAAACGGGCCACAATTCAAGCTAAACATTCAGAAACTGAAGAGCAAAACTAGAAGGGATGGTTTCGCTTCAAATCAGATCAGAGCGAAATCGGAGGTACTACACCGCATCCCTGAGGAAACGTGTGGAACTCTGTAAAGGTGGTGTACCACCGTTTTACGCAGAAACGAGACAATGTATTGCTGTCACGGACACCTGCAAACTGATTGCAGAGAGGAGGATGGTGAAAGAGAATATGACTGAATGCAAAGATGATCAACAGAAGGTAAAGCTGAGTTCAGTGTGCGTCGTATTGAGTAAAGAAGTGAAGAAGAGTTATAGGAAAGACAAAAGCCGCTTCTATAACACACCTGACAAACTCCATATGATCCATAAAGGTTGATAAAAGAGCAAAAATTTGCAAATTGAAGCATGAGAATATAATGAATGTGTAAGATTTTAGAAAAGAGTAAATTTATCCGCACCATTGAGAATAATTTTGAGCCATATTGTCGTCTCCGATAATTGGTGGTTCTTAGCGTCTCAAGGACCAGACCAAATAGGCAGTCTATACCTCGATATAAGTATAAAACTTGGGCACTGTGATAGAGCATAACTCCATTATGGATAAAATTTTATTTTGATAAATCACAGTGTTGTGCTCGAAATGTTATAAGTTAATATTACTGTACAACACTGTGATTTATCAAAATAAAATCTTATCCATAATGGAGTCTATACCTCGATTCTTATGTGGTTGGCTCTAACCAACAGTCAAAAACATCATGGATTGGTAACAGGTTTTCCCATGACTAACTTTGACCGTTCCCTAGCCGACACTGCTCAGCGAGAAAGGTGAGGTCTCTGGGCATTCATGTCCTAACCACCTTTAACTGATGTAGCTTCACAACCGGCACATGCCCCGAAATTCCCTTTCTACCTAAAACTCTGTGCTAAACCCGATCAGTATTACGGACCATATTAGATTGGGAGGTAGAACGCAAAAAGAAATTTGATATTGCTCAAATGGCGACTATTTTTTAAGCCTGATTACAGAAATGTGTGCTAAGAGTTTTGCATCTTTCCAAGCGTCAGCTTACAAATTCAATCTACGCGTTATTTTTATCACACTGTAATGGTACCAAAGGTGGTCAATAATTGATTATTGAGTATTGATTAATATACAATTGGTGGATGGTGGCTAGCAGTGGAATCCAGGATAAAGCGCATTTCGTCCTATTTGGGACTCGTCAGCTGGATGTACCTGCATTTCTCAGTGAGTGATGATGTTCCCACTGAGGCTCGAAGCCAGTTCCGATAGTTTCAAACACCAAAGCGTTATCCACTAGACCACTTGGACCACGAGAGCCACCTCTTGTGCAACGGGTCATATCAATTATTGAATTGAATTTTTGATTTTCCCGTCGATTGATTGGACCGAAGTGCTCGGTCTCAGGTTGACATGTAGGCTTCTTGTGCAGATGCTTCGACTAAGACTATTACTAATATTGATCGATTGGTTACATGAAAAAAAAGGCCTAGTTAGTTAACATTTTACTTCATGATTGACTTATCAGCCTTACTATTCAGTTTCCACCTGGCTTAAAATTGCAATAGAAGCTAAAGACTTTCTTAAGCTAGCCGCATAACAGTCACATACTGATTATCTAAACAAACCACCTCTACGTATTTCATTTGTTTGAAAAATTGAATAATGAATCGGACAAAACCATCACTTGTTAGTAACGCTATCCGTGATAGGCCTATATTGGCAATCAAAACATTACCGGTTTAGTTGAAATCCTTCAGAAAGCATCACCTTTCATTGCGTAAGTGAGGTATCAATTGTATTATTATAATTATTATTGTCTCCTTGGGTTCCGAATGGAACATAGGACCTAAATAAAACATCTCCACTTTGTTCCATTTCCTGCCATCCTCTTCAGCCGGGACCACAGTTGCCCACAATCTCCCATCTCTTCCATGTCACCATCAGACACACTCCAAACTCGTCGTTTCTCATTCGGACTCGACTCGAGCAATGGCCTGCAGTGTGTGCGATGTCATTCCACGGTCTCCTCAGTGGTGTCTTCCCTGTCCATCTCCAAGTTCCTCTACATTTTTTGATGAAGGATAGTTCCTTGGTTAATTTGTTTACAGAGTTTCTTGTTACTGATTCTTTCTGACATTTGATCTTCAATATAGATCCAGCTGATGATAAAAGTCTGTAACCTGACCCATATGGAAGAACTGACTGACTTGACATTGGTGTTGAAAATCCAAATCTTGTTATTTATACTGAGGTGAAGTGCAGAAGATTTCCAAACCGATTGGAGATTGATGAAGGTGTATCTTGCCTTTCCTACTCTGCATAGGTTTTACATCTTCATCCGTGCTGACTGCGTGTAGTTGAAACGATGCTTCTTGGCGATAAGTGAAGGGAGTTGCCTTTTTTCAGGTTTCTCCCATTGATGGTGATTGGTGTTGGTTGTTCATATTGTTGTTGCCATTCGTTGGTTATCTTTATCACCTGGAGTCTTGTCTTCGCAGTCTGCTTCTCTTCTTCAGGCATTTTGTTGGTTTTCGCCTACAAGTTTTCGAGTTTGTGTGACAATACATAAATCACCCATGCACCAAATCCAGGTCTCCTAGAGCCCTCTTATTGGTCAGTACAATGTATTCCTGTCTTCGTTCTCCCCACGTTCAATTCGCGGCATAATGCAGTCTACCACAAATAGGAATATCATCGTAGGTTATAGTAGATTGGCAACGTTAACTTACTCCTGTATTCACTTCAAAGGCTTCTTTTCTGAGTTTTCCGTTGTGGATCACTTGACACTTGTCAGCCATTGTTGTATAGCCAGCAGTTGAATGAGGTTGATAAAGAACTCAAAATCTTGTTTTGATTTCAATATGGGAATTTTTCATTTACTGATAAAGAACTGTTGACATGTAGGTAATCTAACGTATATATATATATATATGTTACAGCACCTTTTGTTGTTAACATGTTTGTTTGTTGTTTTGTCTATTATTATCAATTTCTCTAGGTGCGGTCATTAATATCAGACTTTTCAGTTGTCTTAGCTATTGCCATCGGCACTACAACGGACTTTTTATTGAATTTACACACTCCCAAGTTGTTAGTGCCAACAACATTCGAACCAACATTGGGCTACAGTGTAAGTTGCTGTATTATTATTAGTAGTAGTATTAGTATTTGTTTATGTTCTTGTTGTTTTACGGAGAGCATGGCCTTCTTGGACAGTGAGAATCCCATCAAATCACTGAACTGTGTCTACCCTTCTAGATAAAGTTGAGAAATAGCATTGACACCACATACTTCGTGAATAATTGGGATAGTAAATACTGAAAAATAAATATTCGTGACCATTTCTGATTCATCTTTAGTTCTGTTCATTTTTTGTATGCTGGTATATGTACTACTGATCGATATGAGTAGTCGTTAATCTTCAGTAGATTTGTTCACCACATCGATTTTATGTACGCCACTGGATGACCGTTTGAACGGTTTAAGGCGGAGCTGCTTATAAGTGATGTGAGTGGTTTAACCTTTCAGTTCAAGGGGAAATTGTCACTTCAAGCTGTGCTGTTTACAAAGTGAGGATTTGATTTCATTCATTTTTGTCTTTGTTGATTTATGTCAACATTGCTTCTCATTGGACATATATGTGGATGTTCAAAACCATCGAATGGCTTATCTTCAGAATATTTGTTTTTACCAGTTGATATCAGTTAAAGAACCATTGGAAACCAACACTGGAGTACTGGACAGACTGTTGTTTCATCCTAGTTTGGGAATTGTCGGCAGTACGCACCCACTGGGATTCGAACCCAGGAGCTCCCGGTTACAAAGTAGGCTTGTATACCATTCAGCCACCGGGACCCGATTCAGTGGCGGAAGGTTGAGCGTATGAGTTTAGCAACTGCACTCCTTTAAGAGAAACAACACTACCACTAATAAAATTTCAAAGATTGAATCCATGTGTTTCACTCAGAACGCAAAGGAAATGAGAAAAAAGACTACTTAGTGAAGAAAATCTTGTCTCAATCACCAGGCTGTACAATCAGTCATACTTGTATTTGATAATAGATGGTTGCAGACGATTGGCAGGAGGCTTTGGACCTAGGATTCGTGCTGGTTAGCACTCGTCAGCAAGGCGTGTTCGCAACCTTGAAGGGATTCAAATTTCCTCTAATATCTGCGTCACCTAGTGCTGCAGCCAGTCAGAAAAGTTACTACCGAGCTATTCGGGCTCACGATCGACCTCCTGTAGGATTGCACTGGATACTAGTTACTAACTAGTATGATGTATCCAGTTTTTTGTTTTGTGCAGACTGAATTCTATCACAGTCAAGTTTGCAATATGGCCACTATTCTAGGTGGCTTGTCATCACGGTGTACTTTACCTTTGGTCCTAAATCATCTTACAACCAGAGGTTGCACATCGGTGGTGCGATGGATCAAACCACGAGAGAGTTACGGGTTCGATTCCAAGCCGACAAACTCTTAAATATCGCCTACTTCACTAGCTAATGGTGCGAGCCCAGGAAGAGGTGAGGTTGGGCCTGAAGACAAAAATCCCACTCCGTAAGAGGAGACAACACTATTGCTACAGAAATTTCGGGGCTTGAAGCCTGAAGCTCTCATGTTCCCTCTGAGATTCATACCCTCACCGCCCAATGCTGTGGTCAATTCAGTTGCTTTCGTCACATACTGTGAAGATCAGATATGACCGGGCAGAAGGGATTTGCAACAGGGATTTTTTGGCGACAAATAAACCTAGAACCTTAAAGCTGCCCAACCAACAAATCTACCACAGGAGATGGAGAGATGGGTTGGATAAACGCTGAGAAGACGGCTGAAGACTTTCTGATGATTGCCTCCAACTATCAAATATCAACAATTTAAGGTGGATTGTGACGGCGAGTCACCTAGAATGGTGGCCACACTGCAAACTTGACTGTTATAGAATCCAGTCTGTACAAAACAAAAGGCTAGACACACTACACTAGTTACCAATTAGTGTCCAATGAAAATATTTATATTCTCTAAAAATATACAGCAGTCTATCAATGAGTAATATGAGTTTTTTGGGAGGAAGGTTCACATTATCAAAACAGATGCTCAGCTTTGGTCTCTAAGGTTAGAAGAATGGTGACATAAACACCCAACGACAAAATATAAGTAGTATGGGTTTGAAATTTCGTAAGATGGAAATTATTTAAAAGAATCAGTTCTCTTCATGAATTTAGACAAAACAATAAGAAGACGTAATTTGTCTGAATCATGTGTAGAGTGTATTTGCGCAACACACATTTCGAACAATCTGATCACACACGGACTTATCACGGGACTGTATATATGAAATTAATAAAGACCAAAGAGGTGAGAAAATAGACTACTTAGGTCAAATTAAAAGGACACATTGAAGGTCAAATTAACAATGAAGATCACTAAACCAAATAACAAAGGTAATGGTACATCTGCCATGGTATCAAAACAAAGTTTACCAAAGAAGGGTTAGTACGATGAATTGTTTTTGAATGTACAAAGGTGGTTTAAACTTCCAAATTGCCAGCTATGGCTTCCACAAACTTTAGGATACGCCCTCCCCCAAACACGTTTTATAGATAGGTTTAAAAGATATGTTGACGTCAATTTTATGTCCTGTCTCTATAATATGTCCTCTTAACTTGACCTAAATTTCTCTAACCTCTTATTAATTTCATATATATATTCCTATAACAAGTCAGATTGTTCGAAAGGTATCACGCAAATTGATTACATGAAAATTATTATTATCGTTGAGAAGAAAGTTGGTTGACTGTTCACTTGAGAAAAAAAGTGATTAAACGTTGAGCACTGACTATTCAAATATACTAAATGAGCACTTTCAAGAGTGATATGATGATATTAAATGCAACTATTAGAGTCTTTAAAAGATAACTAACATTCATGCATTTATTCCCCTTGATGAATTTGCATGAAGCAAGAACAACAGCTGTTTGTGCAAAATAATATGGTACCATCATTGCTTATTTCGTTGGCTTCTCATCATCATGAAACATTCATTGTAGATTCCGTAGAGTATTGGATTTGGTTTTCTCCTTTCATTTCTCAGTAAGGGGTGGGGTGATTGAGGGGGCATTTACATTGACAATAATATCAAAAAATATATAAATGAAAAATAAAAAAATTAAGTAGAAATAGTGACAACAAAATATTAATAGGCTAGGAAGAATGAAAGCGGTCGTTCATTTACTGTTTCGCAATATGTGGTGAGTAGTTTTACGCCTAACACTTCTCATAGAATGCGTGGCGAAAATAATAATAATGACTTTCATAGATTCTGTTCCCTTGATAAATTTCGATAGAGAAAGAAAGACCAGATTTGCAGTATAAAATGATATCATCATTCTATTTCACAGGTCCCTATCAGCTGTAGACTGCCTGAAATTACAATAGTTATATATATATATATATATATATATATATATATATATATATATATATAACCATTGTAATTCCAGGTAGTCTGCAGATGATGAGAACCTGTGAAATAGAATGATGATATCATTTTATACTGCAAATCTGGTCTTTCTTTCTCTATCGAGAAATAATGGCTGTATTGCGAACAGTACCTTTGAGACAATGGGGAATTTTCATAGAGCATTTATACCTAGCTTTCCAAGTATTAAGTCTTTTATGATTGCTTCTAGTCCTACCTTATGAGATGCGATGAGGGGTACAGTCCCAACACGATGATATTCGCCAGTTTCTTGCGTGACTTCAAGTCACTGTCTACAACAGTATTAACTAGTTGGGTTAGTGATACCTCACTCGACTTACCAACCATCAGCTCTTAGTACCCTTCCTAAGTAGCACAGGATAGATTAAAGGGTAACAGTAAAGAAGAATTAGTGGAATACAAGAATTAACAAATTATAAGTGTAGAGATAAAGTGTGATACCAGTTTGTCTAAACTTTCTCACGTAGAATGTAAGACGAAAAATTTTACTAGAAATTAACAGCAGTGCGGGAAAGTTCAGAGGAAAGACATAATGGAAGGTATTCAACACTTGACTTACTTTCAAATTCAATGTCTTCTTATGATACAAAAATCATAGGAACGAATGATTTGGTGTCTGAAAGTGACACTTAACAGTGTGACATTGGAGGGATTGAGTTTAAGATCATTTTGCAAAGTGATACACAGTGATGGCAAATTGTAGAGAGACCTTCCATAAAAATTAACTATGCACTAGTTATTCGTATATCTCTTCTTTTTTCTTCCTTACACTATTATTATTATTATTATTATTATTATTATTATTATTATTCGGTTAGGTTCCGATTGGAACATAGGGTTTCAACAACACTTCTGCACTTTGTTCTATTTTCTGCCGTTCTCGTCAGCCAGGCCCAAGAAAACACTTTTCAAAATCAACTTTATACTACTTATGAAATAGCACAAATAGGCATATGGTTAATTTTTTATGGTTTATTTGGGATATTGTAAAATATTTTAGGGGAACATTTTTATGAGTCAATCTGAATGAGTTCAAGTTCGGTCACGAACCGATTTCTGTTAAAGAACTAATGAAAACCATCCAGGAAGTACTAGACAGCCTCTTATTTTATTTTTTTAAATTTTTTTTGTGCGTCGGCGGCACAGTGGTTAGGACTCTCGCCGATCATGCACATTGGTCCGAGGTTCGATCCCCTCCTGACGCACACCTGATATCTGTGGTGGGCCTGCAAAATTTGGGCTACCGATATCCATGGTGAAAATTCCATACTTGTACCAAAAAAAAATACGGTGTGGAATCAAGCTGTAATCAAAAAAATTAAATAAGAAAACCATCCAGGAAGTACTAGACAACCTTTTTGAAAATCTCTTCGATATTACCCACTCATGACTTCACAATGACGAATCGAACCCAGAACCTTAGATTATAAGGCGAGTTCGTCGACCATTCAGCCACTGGGAGTGTCAATCCACTGACCCATGAATATTTTCTGACTTCACTTGCGATATGTTAGAATATTTTAGTGAAACCTTATAAGACAAAAGGAATGAGCAATGAATACTCTTCTCGATGACTTTCTTATGAAGTTCTTATATAGTAATTGTTATTGGCAACAATGATTTCTCCTAAGGAGCTAGTTACATTTGACGTACAATTAGGCATATTCATCGTCACATTTCCGGACATCATGCAGCATGGTTAAGCAAAAAAGGGACATACAAGGTCCTTTCACAGCTCTGTCTCAGCCTTCCCTTAGGTTTATGTTCACAGGGCGTTTTTAAATTTCTCTATTCTATTCCGATTACTCGTAACTTTGTTTTACGAGTTCGTCTTCTACACATACCACAGCTCTGACGCCATTGAAATCCACCTGATGAAGTCGAAATGATGTGTTCAGAAGAAATTTGTACAAAAGCGTATAAAAAAAGACGTAAACAGCGAAGAGAATTTTCTTTTCGAAGATTCATTTTCATAGACTGTACAGCCGTAATTATATTTAACAAAGAATTCATAAAACACAATTAGATACTGGTATAATTTTTCCTCGAAAAACGTATTACGTAATGTGAGGTGTGATCTAGAAGTGGTGATTTATTGGAAAGTTGTCTATTCGGGATCTGAAACAATACCCCTACATTAAAAAGCACTACATACATTCACTAGTCCTACCATGACCAGAGTAACGTTCCCACTATAATTTTTCTGCCCTTTATTATGTAGGTTTTCTAGTATCATTATTCTCATCATCCTCATTTTATTATCACTTTACTCGTGTTTGTTAGTGAAATTGCTTTTTCATACAGATTTTATAAAAACACTTTATCGTGTTTCCACTGGTTCTTGTCCACTTCACACAATCGTATTGATTAGTCATTTTCTCACACTTATTACGTCAGGTGAACTTCTGCCTCTTTTCTAACTTCCAGTTAGTCACTCCATCTAGGTTACACCTCACACTGCGTAATACGTTTATCCGGGGACAAATTTTACCAATATGTGATATGTTGTCTTATGAATTCTTTGTTAAATATAATTACGATTGTACAGTGGGTTATGGAAATGAATTGTCGAAAAGAAAATTCTCTTCGCTGTTTACGTCTCTTTTTTTCTTATGACTCAATATGGGAATATTTCATTCATCGAAGCTTATAAGGAAGTTATCGAAAAGAGTATTCAGTTTACTCTGACTCTTTTTTTCTTTTTCTAAATATCTAAATGAGGATGTTTGCCATAAATGAAACAAACATTCTTATTTTTACTGTTATCATTATTACTTAATTGTTTAGAAACGTGGTTGGATTGTACCTCCATTTGATAATAATCCTTGGTGGACATCTATTGTTGCATTGGGACCGTCTTTACTCGCTGTCATCTTAATATTCATGGATCAACAGATCACAGCTGTTATTGTTAATCGAAGAGAACATAAACTAAAGGTATGACCTCTATTTTTCATGTTGTATTGTTGTTTTTAACATAAGTTGTTTCAAGTATTGGTTTTGTAGGGATTTTGTTTGATTGATTGTATGGAGGATTTCACCATGAGCTGACATCAGTTCGAGAACCACTGTCCAGTACTCCCAGGTTTTCCAGTGGTTCTCTAACTGATGTCAGTTCATGATGAAATCCTCCATACAATAAGTTGTTTCATTTGAAGGTTTTTCATTCATTTGTTTTTAAAAGCAATCAATGTTGTGGTGCAGGTTAGCGATGTTTTTTTTATGACTAATGTGTCATATGTGCGTCGGTGGTATAGCAGTTAGGACGCTTGCCGACCATGCACGTGGTGCGGGGTTCGATCCCCGGCCAACTCACTCCTTTATCTCGCTAAACCAGAAATAATGCTGGTAAAGAGGAAAGGTTGGGCATGAGGCTAGCAACCTCATCCTGTAAAATTAAACACTGCTACAGAAACTTCAAGCCATTAGCTTCAAGCCCTATGTTCCACTGGGGAACGTGAAGAAAAAAAAGTGTCATATGAAGAATTCACGTTGTATTCTTTAACCTCCTGTGGCAGGGGGCTGTGTACATACATATAAAGTTTTGTTAACAGCCTATTAAGCCAATATGTTTCGAGTACATTAATTTTGGCGCGACATTCATCTGTGTGTGAAAATGTAACCTGACGATTGCATAACTGTTTTGCATTGGTTCCTGTCTCAAAACAATGTGTTCATTCTAGATCTTCTGGTATTTTTTTTCTATCTAACAAATATTCCCATCTTTTCGTCCCTTACGATCTACAACATGATCCAGTGAACTACATTCAGGAAGATCATCGGCGATAGTAGGCCACCTTGTCTTACTCCTGTCTTTCTTCACTTCAAACATTTCGCTGACTTCTTCGTTGTGAATCGTGGAAAGTATCCATGTGAAAGCACTTGTTCTCTAACGTTCTCATAGGTAATTTTCAAGATATCTCTGATCCTAATACACCTTAAACAACTAGGACCACCACCAACGGGGATGAAGACTAACTGTTCATATTAAAGACTATATATGACCAAAAAAGTCTTGTCAGTTGCTATCGTTGTATGAGTTCTATCTATTCCCTGTATCTTTCTCATTCTGTTTTGTTATTGTTGTTGTTTTACTTATGTTATTTTTCTAGAAAGGAGCAGGATATCATTTGGATTTATTAGTAGTATCCGTAACAATATTAAGCAATTCAATACTTGGTATCCCATGGTTTGTAGCAGCTACTGTCCTATCAATTAATCATGTATTATCATTGAAAAAAGAATCAGAAACTAATGCTCCAGGTGAACGACCAGTTTATTTAGGTTGTAGGTAAGTACAGGCCTCTTTTAGTATTATTATTATTTCGGTTGTTTGAATGTAGTGTGTGGTTGTACTTGTGACTTTCTGATACTTTCTGACTGAAAATGATCGCTTTCGTACTGAAGACATACGAGCTCATAACTTGTGATTTAGAAATGGGCCATTCGATCATATCGTATCCGTTGCACAGAAATTCGTTCACATCGAGTGACAGGCTAGTGCACACATACCGATGTGTGTCTAGAACAGACTCATTGATTGGCTCTGTGTGTTTAGGAGATTCTGTCAAGATACTGTGTCAGTTGGGTGTGTGTGTGTGTCTTTGTGCATGTCTAGTCTAGTGAAGAATAACATCTTGTTATTTGAAATGATGAACGGTAGGCTCGATTTTCGGTAGGAATACCTTGACAGCCACTGAAGTGAAATGCAAATGTAATAGGCCGAGGAGTCTGAAGTGAGATAAAAAATACCATTATCAAACATGAAATTGTATAACATTTTATTTGTACTTGCCGATATTTTTCTGGATGAGGTTGAAATAAGCCTTTTTTAGCGAAGTATGAGGTCATGACTTCTATTTTGAATTTACCTGTTTTGTTGGTGTTTACTAACATTGGGAGGTTGAGGGCCGTCGGCTCAGTGATAGAATACTGCCCAACTACGCACATATTCCCCGATTGACGTACTCCTAAACTTCACGTAGCTGGTGGTAGTCCCGGTAAAGGGAGAAAATTGGGTGTGGGGCCAGCAAACCGTCGCCACCCCCCTCCACCTTGTAGAAAACAAAAACACCACTGCTATTGAAACTTCAATTTCGCTCGGAACGCAAAGGAATAAAACAGATAATAAATAAACAGTGCGAACATAATTTTAAGTGCAAATAATATCAAATCTTACCTTTCACTCATATGGCAGTTCCTGTAGTGGGGATAAAACTTTGACGTCTTAAAATAAGTAGAAAATGTTTGACAAAGCAGGACATAATGAATTCACTAAATTTCAATAGAACTCTTACTCATCTGAGTACTATACATACAGTACGAATTGCATAAGGACAGTTCGTCTTCAAATGGTCTTCTCCATGTCATTCTCAGACACACCAAACGCATCGCTTCTCATTTTGATTCTACTCTATTGTCTCTCTGGTGTGTGTGTGTGTGTGTGCGTGATGTCACTTGAGAATTTCATCGTGCGTTTAATTCATCTCCATTTCCTTCTGTGTATATATATATTGGTTTTTTAGTAGGTGGTTTCTGGCTGATTCTCTGCCCACCAGCGTTCCTTTTTGCTTGTCCTTTTCCGGCCGACCACCAAATGTTCATCAATATTGATTAAAGGAAATTGTTAGTAGAAGTCTGCAACAACGTGCTAGAAATTTGTGTCAGGTCTCTGAAAAGTACAAAATCACTATCACATTTTGTTCCCTATACTATGTGGTGTAGATTTTCAGTCTTGCTTCGACATTCTCGTCAGTGCCCCCCCCCACCACTCATGATGATTGATACTTTTAAATTGGATCTGTCTTCATCATCACCTGTCTTATCTATGTTTAGCTGAGTCCCTATCTTCTCTGCCTCTCTTCTACCAACTTGTTGGTTTTCGCCCATAGATCTCCAGGATTGTTCTGCATTAGGACCAACCATAAGATCCAGATCTTCTCTTCTCTCTTTCTCTCTCTGTCTCCTCACAATCTGTTGAATAACCAGGCCAGATCTGTAACCATAAAGTTTATTAGTGTTAGTAGTCTGTAACGTATGACATCAAGAAAATACGATTTAAATAATTACTACACTATAGAATGCGTTTCTCTTCAGTGTATGTATGTTCTATTCCCAAGTTTCAGAAGTTGATCGTACTTCTCCACACACACACACACACACTTGTGTACTCCATCAGCTGGACTTTATCAGTGACTCTGAGCAACAACAAAAAACAATAAGGCTGAAATTTTTGACACCTCCCTTGTTTTCATTTTTTATTTGATCACTTTTCACTGAAAAATTTTTTCTACTTCAATTTTTCTTTTCGTTTGTTTTAGAGAACAACGTGTCACTGGAGTATTAATATTCTTATTCATTGGCCTATCTGTATTTATGACCCCATTGTTATCAGTAAGTACCAGAGTATATAGTGATAAATAAACTTATGCCTTCTATATCATACTCCTAATCATATTATAATAGTTCCTTTATCTACGTTAATTTTTTAATGAAGTGTGACAACTTGAACACTGTTGCATTTGTGTGTGTGTGTGTGTGTGTGAATTTATACATGGAAATCTCAACCAGAGAAAAATAACAAACCTTATCAATCTATGTTTTTCTTTCCTCAAAGTTATGTTGTCTTTTTAATTATTTTCTTAGCGTATTCCAATGCCTGTACTCTATGGTATATTTTTATTCATGGGAATATCATCAATGTATGGTATACAAATGTTTCAACGTATTAGCTTACTATTCATGCCGGTTAAATATCAACCAGATTATCCATATTTAAGGTAAGTAGAATTTTATTTTGTAATATGTACATAATGGATTCATTGAACAGAATTCACTTTTCAACGATTTCACTTTCACATTTCCGAATGGTACTCTATTTTCCAATGATCATCTGTGTCACTTATGCCGTCTATTGAACATTAGGCTGACCTCTATTTATTTATTTAGATAGTTATTCATTAATATATCTGATGAATTCGATTCTGAATCATAATCCTATACACCAATATTATAACACTTTAGTATTTCCATTCACTGTCAAACTTAGACACACACACACAACAGAACTGATTGTTGATGTCTACTGTAATATGTATGGAAAAAAAACACGAATCGGTAGAAGTTAGAATTCATGGGCCATTGAATCGGGTCCCAGCGGCTGAATGATATACGAGCTTGCTTTGTAACCGGAAGGCCCTGGGTTCAAACCCTGGCAGTGGGTGCGTACTACCGGTGATTCCCAAACAAACTAGGATGAAACAGCTGTCTGTCCAGTACTCCCTGGTTTTCAATGGTTATCTAACTGATATCAATCAGTGACCAACTCGTAAAAACAAAACTAATCCTTACAAACCAACTATAGAAAATGAAAAAAGTTGATGGAAAAATAAAGTACCATTCGGAAATGTGAATATGTGAATATAATATGATGGCGAAATAGGATGAGTGAAATGTCAAAATAATAGACAACATAAAGTGTTACAATATGATAACATAAAGTGAAATAAAATTAAGCAAAAAATAAAAATGGAATAGAGAAGTATAACAAAGTTGTTATATTGATTATATACTAAAAACAAGCCAATGGGGTGGTAACGAAAGAGATAGTACAAATTATTCATGTGTACACACTTCTGGCTTTATGTTATATATTGCCAAAGCCTCTACCATACAAAGTGAATGCACTCGTATCCCTTTCGTCAGATTTTGTCAGACTTTGCAGACTATATTGAACGATATATGAGATGCTGGGTCGTGATCAGTATCTACAATATGTTGTGATATGGTTGAATTAATACCTCTACGCCCTCCTTTGCTCAGCCAAACTGGGAAGTGCTCTGGAATGCGGCGGCGGGATATATTTCTCGACGAACGTCTTATGTACCTAGCTCTGCAGGAGCAGACGGACATATAAATGCACATGGAATTAGACAATTGAGGTGACATTTCCTTGACAATAATGTGCACCAGTGGACGGCTAGAATAGGTTATTCGTGAAGTGGCAGCAAAGAACCGTTTTTCCCAGTGATCTCATCAGTCGTATTTTAAGTACCTCACTCACTCGCATTGTCAACCCTAAATTCACACTTATGAAGTTTGACGTTCATAAAATTTTTAAAACTACAAGTATTACTCTGTTTGTGTGTGACACGTACAAATTCACTATATCCTATTATCTAATCACACCGATGGTAGTAAAGAGTGATGATGATATGGGACACTCCAAAATACCGTCGACTTTAGAAGGACTGGACTTTGTGGATGATCGATGTCAAGTGTCACACAAACTCGAAGACAAAAACAAGCATAGCAGAAGAATCAGTGAAGACAAGATATCTAGAGAAGGCAGAGGTTGATGAAGATAACCAACCAACAACACAAAATACCAATCAGTAACAATGGAGGGAATTTGAACGGTGTCATTTCTTCTTATTATTAAGACAGTTCTGTTCCAGCTACAGGCAGAGTTCACGGATGAGGATGTCAAGGGCAAGATGGGAAAAACAGCAAGACAGAAGACCTTCATTACTCTGAAATCAGTGTAGAAATCTACTGCACTCAGAATACGGAACAAGATTCGGATTTCCAACACTTATGTTAAGCCAGTCCTCCTATATGATTCAGAGACTCAGCCGAAGCATTTCTAATAGGCTAATGTACACCTTAATCAACAGCTGGTGTTTCGTTGCAACGAATGTCTTACTAACTGATTTAGAATGACTACTTTTAAGCATACCTGAACTGTGGTCATCTTTGAATTTCAGGTTTATAAAGTTGGTTTTCTCTAGAACTGAAGTAGTGACTAGTTAAGAATGTTTGTTTATAGCAATAAGTCGGTTTGATTAACTGCTTTTGTCAAGCGTGACTTTTAGGGAAGAAAGTTCCACGTCCTCAGGGGAGACTACAAATTCATGAATTTTTATTATTATCTTCCCTAATTTTTTCTAATATTCAGTGCGTATTGTTGTGTTGATGCTGTCGAACTGTAATCCATTGATATTATTACCATTCATTCGATGTTATTCAAACAACAGTAATGTTGTTAATAACACTAATTCATTCACTCTTGTGGATGCATATAACTGTAGAGCCTGATGAAGAGCAGGTTATCGGTAAGAATATTCTTTGTCTAGTAACCCCTCTGTCTTGGATTTAATAATGTTGCGTATTGTTTTAATTTGACCTGCACATGATTAGTTTCTCCTGAATCCAGCTGGTTTGGGATTGAATTTTACATTCAAGATGATGTGACTTAATACTTAGCCTCAGGTGGACAGAAGTGTGACTCCATGACAGTGTTTGCAAATAATTAAGCCGCCTTTTTTTAACAGTTTCACTAGCTAGTTAACCCTTCTGTCAATCGGGAGTGAATTCGTTAAAAAAGCATCTCTCCTCTGAATATTGTCTTCCTAGTGCTACAAATAGGAATTATTAAAGCATATGCATTTTAGTCATTTTTGAAAAGATGCCTGAGAGTAATTCTCTTTTAACACTGGACACATTTATCATTCATACACACACACACACACACACTAAGTGTATTGATTGAATTGGATGGGAAAACTCTATCTATGAAAATGATAACAAGAAATAATAATAACGGTCACGTGAATAATTCTCTAGGTTGTTAAAAGCTATTCATTCACTCCACTGTTCAACTATGTTAATTACCTGTCTCTGTCTTCCCTTTACACGGATTGTTTTTTCTTTTATTTTTTCAACCAACCGTCACACGTGTTTGGTTGTTCGATTTTTCTTTATTGATCTGTATATGAAAAATGGCACTGTACTTTTGCATGGATTTTCTTGTTTGACATGTAGTTGAAACTTTGGTATGCTGCAGTCCATCCGACTTTAGTTTTTAGTAATAAAAAAAAGTTTTTTTTAACTTTCATACTGCCTACCTGCCAGTCTGTGTATCAGTCGGGCTTATATTAGCTTGCATTTCCTTATAATATTATACGATAAAAGCTTGGGGTACACTGTGACAATGACTATTTTGCGGAAACTTTGCTCGCCCATCGCAAAAGCATTTCCAGCAGACTTTCAGCAACTGCAGCTGCCTTCATCTCAGTGATACTGAAGACCACCAGGCGGCCAGGCAGCCAGCCAGAAAGAACTAACAAAAAAAGAACTCTGATAGGCAGTGTATTACAGTTTGGAATGTATTATTCAATAAATATGCAAATAGAAATGAAGATGGATTGGACACACGCCGAGGTGAGTGACATCACTCACTCACTAGGCACACTCTCAAGTGGAATGAAAATGATAAACAATGAGTTGAGCAAGGGTCAGGTTATATGGAGGAGATCATGTGAGGAGGAAATGAAAGCTACTCAAAACTTCAAATCATGAAACCCTAAGAATGTACACTAGGAGAGGAACTGTATACTTATAGACATATAGTAGATTTATTTGCCCAACTGATATTTCCTGGCACTGTATAAACTGGATATTAAGCTAACTTCATTTCCTTTTCAAGTGTTAGTTTGTAGGGATTTGATTGGCCACGGGTTCGATCACGAGTTGACACCAGTAAGAGGATCGTGATAATGATCAGAAATATATAACCAATCATTTCCCTGTAAACCAAACACATTAAAATTAACCTGATGCTCACTAGTGACTTGTTGTATACAGGAAGTTAGCTGAGGTTCTGATGAAAAGTCGTGACTAGCAGCGTCTGCCGAGCCAGGTAAGAGAACAGTTATTATTCTAAAAACTGGACTTCTAACTCTTCATTACTACTTCAGAAGATGAAGTGGTCGTTTGTTCTGAACAATAAATAACCGCTCTGAAAACACACACACACAAAATAAGGAATTCAATCTCAACTTAACTTACTGACTGACTGACTTTGTGTGCTTTTGGAAGTGTGTGGATGGTTGTTACTTCCAGGATGCTCACATCGTGGAAGCTTAACTAGAATATATATATATATATATATGCAGCTGATGAGAATCTGTGAAATAGAATGATATCATTTTATACTGCAAATCTGGTCTTTCTTTCTCTATCAAAATTTATCAAGGGAACCAAATGTATGAAATATATATATATATATATGCATGCCCGCAAGCCAACATTTGAAAATGTAACGCATTGCTCGCTAGTGACTGAATACAGGATGAAGTGAAAAACTCGTTATCAGTAGAGTTCACCTAGTCAGGTGTGAGGACAAATATTCACCTATAACATTGACTGGCGGCTGCTCTATATGTCGTGAATAGCCAGGAGTTGGAATTCATTGTCCATTGGGTCAGGCCCCAGTGGTTGAAAGATTTCGAACTTGTAACTGCAAGGTCCTGAGTCCAAATTCCAGTGAGTACAAACTGCCTCATGCCCAACCCTGTCTTCTTCTCCTGGCTCAATATCAGCTAAGCGAGGTCTAGTGGTACATTGGTGTCTGATGTTTGAACGCGGGTCATTCAAGGGACGTGGTTGTCGAGCATTTCACTATTGATTTACTGGCTTACGCGGGTCAAGATGATGAAAGCATTCACAGCAACTGGAGATAGTCCACAATTCAAGTTTAACACTCAAACTGAAGGACGAAACTACAAAGGAAACCTTCACTGCAACTTTACTGTACAGAATGTGTCATAAGATTTTATTCAGCTAAGGTTCATAGTTTAACTGATTACTCAAGATGCTTTGATTACTTAATTCTGAGTACACCTAATCCTTAGTAACTGTCCAAATACAGTTTGCTATTCTATTAAAGTTCGACTCCCGGTGAAGGAATCATGCGTGTGCGCACTGCTGATGAATACGT